GCCCTTATCTGGATATGAGGGATCTGGAAACTGTTATACATGGAGCTACCCTTGTGCCTAATCTGGAAACTGCAACTGGTGCAGAACATGGCAGCCAGGCTAATTACTGGAACATCAAGGAGGGAGCACAGAACACTAGTGCTTAAATCCCTCCATTGGCTGCCAATTAGTTTCCAGGCACAGTACAAGGTGTTGGTTTTAACCTTTAAAGCCCTACATGATTTGGGTCCATCTTATCTCAGGGACCACCTCTTTCCGTACGATCCCACCCACATACTTCGGTCCTCTGGGAGGAATCTGTTGAAGCCCATAAAGACTAGGCTGGCACAGACCTCCCAGAGGGCCTTCTCTGCGACTGCTCCCAGATTATGGAATGCCTGTTGGATGAGATCAGTCTTATTACTACCCTTGCTGCTTTCAAGAAAGCAGTAAATACAGATCTCTTCTGGCAGGCTTTCCTGGAATAATCCCCTGGCTCTAGTGGAGGTTACCTTATGCCCCTTAACCCCCATAGTGCATGGACATGCCCAAATTGTTTATTTTGTTTTTATTTGTTTTTGTTTTTGTTATGTATTTAAGAATCATTTTAATTCTGCTATTATAGTTTAATTTAGTTTTAAGGGGTGGGAGGATTAGGGTGTGAGATATAGGAATTTTACATTGTCTTTTGTTTTTAAATTATGCTGAGTATAGGGGCGGCTTAGAAATAAAACTTATTATTTTTATTATTATTAAGCCTGTTATTGCTGGGGAGGAGAAACCCTTTTTCTTTTGTTCTTCAAAATAAATTTCCCCCTTTTGGACTTTACATTCAGCATTGGACCCTTTTTGGGTAAAAGAGTTTGATCTCACCAGGGTACTGCCGTTGCACCCCCCTATTTGCCACCACCATTAGTTGGGTGTGTCTTCATAGGGGGAATCGAAGGCCTGGTCCCAGGGTAAAATTACATCCCTACATATGCTTAGAGGCATGTGACACCTTTCTGAGTAAGAATACCCCACCTTTGATTTACTATCTGATCTTTATTAACTATCTACTTATTGATACAGTCATAGTGAATCAGTGTCCTTTAAATGAAATATATCACTCCCTACATGTTACATGTGTAGGTTAGTGAGAGTGGAAATGAAAGGTACAGATCAGTGACAATAGGGCACCTTTCCCCAGTTATTAGATGTATTGAATTTCTACCATCCCCATTCCAAGGATGACCAACAAACAAAACAAGACCAAAGCAAACAAAGGAACAGCAAAAGTAACAACAGAAAACCAGGCTGAAATAAGGTGACTTTAGAAGACTGCCCCCCCCAAAAATGTTTGAAAGGGATAATAACAAAATATGTCCCAATGATCAACAGTAACAATTTCCATGCCGTTCTCTATAAATCCCATAGTACAAGCTCAAAATAACATTTGAAAATGTAGCTAATGATAACACAACCAAACAATTTCAGTTATTGGTATTGGTACTGATGGCAATGAATTAATTTACCAATTTCCAATATTTAACATTATCAAATTAATTTTCAAACTTCACATCCCAAGCTCTAAAATAACTATCTGACATTTGGTGACACAATAACTTGATCACACAGTTGGGAGAGAGAGAATAAGGTGGATTGGAAATTTACAATGATTCTCCCCTTCCCAGTTGACTCATCAAGCTTGAATAGCTTACAAAATTCACTACAGTAATTTGAAAAACAATTGCTATCTCCTTTCACCTTTTTGAGATTGGATTTTTTTTAAAAAAAGTATTTTCCAGAAATCTTACCTGACATGCTGTAGCATCAGTAGGAGATTTAGAACAACATGTGTGCTCTTACTACATGTGCATAAGGTTTGAAATAGAATAATGTGGGAGGAAATGCCTTTCACAGATCATAGCAGCATTATTTACAGAAAATGAGACATATTCTCAACTTAATTTCAATTTGACAATTCCAGCAAAAATATAATTAGGGAGTATATTTGGAGCAGTAACACCAACCAAATTCTCCAAATACCCTCAGCTTTTAAAAAAAGTGCAGCAGGCCTTGACAACTTGCTAGAGCATTAGAATATTGTCTGAAAATACAAAACAGTAGTTGATAAAAGCCTGTTTGGAAAAAAATTAACAAAGTATTGGACCACAAGTTCTCTTTGTCCAACAGAAGGGATATTGATCCATTTTTTAAAAAAAAAAATCATTTCATTGCAGGAAATGTCTTTGATAGAATAGAACAGAACAGAATAGAATAGAATAGAATAGGAGTTTTGGATCTAGCCCATTGGAATCAAAGAAAAAAAAAACCCTGGCATCGTATTGTTGATGTATGTTGGCTTGATCTCCAGTTACACCAGTGTATGTATTTTTAAAGTCAATAATGAAAGGTCTTGACCAAAATCTGTTATATTTTAATAATGTTTACAAGACATAAGCTGTGAAATCTGGTTGTCTGGTGATTTGTATTTTTAAACTGTTTAAATGGATTTCATTGTACATCACCTTAAGATCCTTGGATATAGGATGGGATATATTTTAATAAAATACATTAAATAAATATAGACAAATCATTTCATAAAATTCATATAAACATTATTAAAAAATGTTTATATGAACCACTGGGCATGTGACTTTTCATAATGAGCTAGTAAGGGCCAGGTATCTTTCCTGTGAAAGCCAGAAAATGACTAAGGAAAGCCTGATTGTATGTCCAATTTTATTAGCTTTCCTTCAGATGCAAAGAATTATTATGATGTCACCATAATGTCTTGACTGAGTGTCTGAGTGTATCTAGGCTGTACATTTATAGCAATTTGATATCACTTTGATTGCTATGGCTCACTTGTACAGAATCCTGGAAGTTTTAGTTTGAAGGTACTTAGAATCCTCTACAGCAACTATAGGACTATAGCACTGATCTCCCACACAAGCAAAATCATGCTCAAAATTCTGCAACATAGACTCCAACCATACATGGAAAGAAAGATACCACAGGTCCAAGCAGTACTGAGGAAAGGAAAAGGCACTAGGGATCACATTGCAAACATATGATGGCAAATGGAGTGCACCAGGGAATTTCAAAAGAAAATCAGCAAAGCTTTTGACTGCATAGATCATGAAAGACTATGGAATACCCTTAAAGACATGGGAGTGTCAGCACATCTGATAGTCCTGATGAGGAATCTGTACTCATGGCAAGAGGCTACTGTCAGAACAGAACATGGAGAAATAGATTGGTTCCCAATTGGCAAAGAGATCAGATAAGGCTGTATCCTTTCACCTTATCTGTTCAACTTATATGTAGAACATATTATGAGAAAAACAGGCTTGGACACAGAAGAAGGAGGAGTGAAAATAGGAGGAAGGAATATCAAAAATCTAAGATATGCAGATGACACCATAGTACTAGCAGAAAACTTCATAGACCTGGAACACCTAGTATAGAAGATCAAAAAAGAAAGTGCAAAGGCAGGCTTAATGTTGAACATAAAGAAAACAAAATAATGACCCCCAAGGACCTTCACAAGTTCAATCTAGACAATGAAGAAATAGAAATAGTAAAAGAGTTCCCATACCTGGGATCAAACATTGATCGAAATGGGGACTGTAATAAGGAAATCAGAAGAAGATTAAAAATGGGGAAGGTGGCTATGAAAGAACTAGAAAAGATTCTAAAATGCAAAGGTATACAATTCAGCACAAAAGTTAGAATCATATAGGCCATTGTATTTCCTATTACCATGTATGGAACTTTAGAGCTGGACAGTTAAGAAAGATGATAGGAAGAAAATCAATGCATTTGAGATGTGGTGCTGGAGAAGAGTACTGAGGATCCCATGGACAGCCAAAAGGACAAACAACTTGGTCCTAGAGCAGATCAAACCGGAAACCTCCCTGGAAGCCAAGATGATCAAACTGAAATTGTCGTACTTCAGACACATCATTAGAAGAGGGGACTCTTTGTAAAAGGCAATAATGCCAGGGAAGGTGGAGGGAAGTAAGAAGAGAGGAAGGTCAAATGCCAGATGGATGGACTCTATTAAGGAGGTCATGGGTATGGAGTTGCAGGAGTGGAGGACAGAGGGTCTATGTCTCATCCATAGGGCTGCCATGAGTCTACATTGACTTGAGGGCAGTTATCAATTTATATTCATTCTGTCTATATATTTCTCTCTCTCTCTCTCTCTCTCTTTCTCTAAATAGCTATATTTAAAGCACTAGCATAATAATAATAATAATAATAATAATAATAATAATAATAATAATAATAATTTTTATTTCTACCCCACCTTTTGCTGTAGCAATCAAGGCAGCTTACAGCAAAAAACAGATACAAACCCTGACAATAAACAATAAAACTCCCCTATTAAAAATATATTAAATACAATCTCTGTTAAAATCAATTTAAAACAAAAACAAATTTAAACGAAGACAGATAATGACTTGGCTCAATTAAAACTATCGGCCCTCTGGGGCAGGCAGGAATGGAAGAGAGGAGAGCATCTTATGGGGAGAGACCAAATTTAAAGGTGATTCTATCCCAGATAGGCCTGCTGGAAGAGATCCATCCTGATGGCTTTTTAAAAGCCACCTAAGTTGGTTATCTGATGGATCTCTTCCAGCAAGGCGTTCCAGAATCTGGAAGCAGTAACAGAAAATGTCCTCTGGGAGGTCGCCATCAATCTAGTTCTTGTCAGTTGAAGAAGCTTCCTCCCAGAGGACCTGAGGGCACGGAGCGGATTATATGGGTGAAGGCGATCCTTAAGGTAAGTTGGGCCCAGGCAATGTAGGGCTTTAAAGGTCATCACCAATACCTTATACTGTGCTCGGAAACTAATGAGCAGCCAGTGAAGAGATCTTAAAATTGGTGTAATATGATCACTCCTAAATGTTCCAGTGATCAGCTTGGCTGTCATGTTTTGTACTAATTGCAGTTTCCGAGTTAGGTATAAGGGTAGCCCCATGTAGAGTGATGGTATGTTGTCAATTTCTTCCTGGATTGCATCATAGAAGGCCTGGTATAGTGGTTTGAGCATTAGACTACAACTCTGGAGACCAGAGTTCAATTCGCTGCTTGGGCATGGAAAACCACTGGGTGACTTAGGAAAAGTCATACTCTCTCAGCCCCAGAAAGTCCCATGATAGGTTTGTATTAGGGTTGCCATAAGGTGGAAATGATTTGAAGGTACACAACACCAAATCTATAATAGACATACATTAAAGGATGATCAGCAGTAACCATGGCAAATGCTTTTAAAATAAACTGAGTTTCAGCTGGAACCTTCAATGTCAATGGGGTAATGTTTTAGTGAAATTTTTAAAGAGTTATCAAGGTGCACAGTCCTATCCTTCAACTATGTCCAACACCTTGGATAGCTTTTTAAGGTTCAAACCAAAATCCTGAATGGATGCAGTGTTCTGCTGACATGGGAGCTACCAATTATCATTGAATATACTACTGGGGGGGGGGGATAATAAATATCTTTGGCTCTTGCATTCTTACTAAGAAAAATCAGAAATGGTACATCTGAACCCAAAACATTTTTTATGGAAGCAACTTTTTTTTATTTTGATTATGAGACTGCCCTCCAGTTCTGGCCAAATCTTGAGGAAATTATTATTTGGACACCTTTTGGAGCTGTAGTCTAAAACAGTAACTGTCCTAAGCTTTGTCTCCATCAAAATTGTCTCCATTCTGTCAGTGCCTAAGTGATGGGCTGTTAAGTCATTATCCATAGGTACAGCTAGTTGAATGAGATGGATGGTTGGGGGAGGGTCATATTATTAAATTATGGAATATTCAGTAACTGAACACTTACAATAATAGCTATGCTTTCAACAAAATCTGAAACATAAATATAAACAAAATCTGATATTATCTATAGTCAAACAATTGATTTATTCCTAAGAATGTAATAACTATATTTCTGGTGTTTTGAAACCCAGTGAACCCATTATTCTATTTCTAGCTAGGTTTCTAACTGTGGAAAGTAAGATAGGATGTACTGGCAATGATATTTTTGTTTTTTGACTTCTGAACATGCAATCATCTTTTGACCTGAGAAGATTCACTGGATAAACTTTCTGTTCAATGTATCCATTGCTGGTTTTCCCAGTAATTTTGCCACTTCCACTTCCAGACTGACCTACATGGCAGCATTCTGCCTTCATTTCTGGTGAACTTCCATACAAGTACATTGGTTAAAATAGTTCCATTTTACCTGGAAAGAATATCTGGAGAATTAGCAAGCTAGGACACTTTAAAGTTCCTATTAAAATATTCTACTGAAATGAAGGAGGCTCTTCAACATATATATCCTGGTATGGGACATCCATTCTTTGAATTGCAACAGGAAGAAATGTGAGGTACTATATTTAAGGTGGGGGCTTTTGATTGTTTAACATTCAAGGTATATGAAGAGAGATTTTTAGTCAACTCTAGAAATTTCTACTGTTGAAAGATAGCTCCTGAAAAAGGACATTTAGTATCATAACAGCTGAAATGTATGGGGCTCATTAAAAAATGAGATAATCATACAACCATTTTTAAAGAATAAAATACAACTGTCAGCAAGCACATGAAGACTTGTTTCTTCTTTTGCTTGTGGACCCTAAAGAAGCACCAAAGGAATTTAGGCTCATTCATCACTTGTCCTAGTCTAAAAGGTCATCTTTAATATGTCCATTTCAACACGTTTTGCTTAGTCTACTTTATTTCCTTTGATCATTCAGTAAAGCTGTTGATATACTGTGAGACAGGGCCCTTATGACCAAGTGTAACATTCATTCAGCCTTTCAGCTGTTGCCAGTCTACCCATAGGACTTCTGTCTTTTAGGCTTTACATCAAATAGACCCTGGTCTGTGGATAAGGACATGACCATGAGCTGTTATGTAGCCCAAGTGGATTCCACAGCTGTCACTCTATGAGAGAACTTCATTAGGCAGAGTGTGCTTTGGTTCTCTCTGCCCACACCTGCATATTTCCACTGGAGTCACAAGTTAGACCATGGATAGAATGGGCATCAGGAAGAATACTTTGGCTTTCCCCTCCTGCTTCTCCTGGAGATTTGGAGAACACTAGCTAATGTTTAGGGTAAGATGAAACACTCCTAACCATATTTTCTTGAACTTTTTCTGTGTATATGCAGTGGCAAATTTGTTTTGAGCAAACAAACTCAATCAGCAGAAACACCAAGGGATGCCATCCATTATCCATATATATCTTGTTTAATCCCTATATATCTTGCTTAATTTATTGAAATAAGATCATTGTTGGTAATGTATGCATTTCTAGTGTCATGAACAACACTGTCATTTGGGAATTCTGGGCCATTTTTTATGGATAAGATGTTTGAAAAACAGAAGTTAATTAAAAAGTAATATGTCACATGTGACATGTGTAGATGCTAATATGCTGCTTTAAAAAAAGTAGCACTGGCAATAAAGTGTTAATTCTTAAAAATAGTTTTCCATGCTCTTTGTTTCTATATGAAAGGAAGCCAGTGGTGCAGCTCTCTTTTGAACTAAAAAGAGAGAGTCTGGAATTACCATTTGAATATATAAATACAAGTCAGGAGAGTCAGAAGACTATTACTAAAATGTGGTACTTTACACTCATGTTCTCTTTCTTTTTTCTCTTCCCTGAAACCTCAGCTACCTGAATGGTGACTGGAAGTTTCTGTGGAATCAGAGATGTTATCCTAGAATGTTTTGAGTGTGAAACAGATGCATTCTAAGGATAGGATTTGCTTTCTGATGCATTCAGCTTCCCCCCCCCCCCCCTCAGGTTTTTATTCCTACTGAGTTTGTGAAGCAAATTTTAAAAAGTGCTCACTTTTAAAAAAAACAAACAAACAAAACTAATTAAAAATGTTCTAATCTCCCAGCATGACCAAATGCAATCAGTACACCCATTCCTCACATAGAGAGGACTACATTATTCCTGGCTGTTTGGAAGCCACTAAAGATGTGGTTTCTGTGAGAAAGAAGAGGTGGCAACTCAAATTCACCACAACACATATAACTGAAAACACAAAGGCCTTATAACACAAGGCCCCTTTACTGCGACAGTTGCATTGCCTGTAAAAATTGAATGCAATTGAGATTGGAGTCTTACCCTATGCATTTTTTTTACCTATTCTGGGATTAGTGTGCCTGTTAGCACCAAAATTTTATGGCACACTGGGGATATGTCAGCTCCCCTGATAGATGATGCATGAGAAGTAGGAAGGGGGGGTCAGGGGGAGAAGAGGATAGCAAGCCATCCTGTCAGGTTAGAGAGAAAGGTTGCCCTTGACTTGCTGTTAGCAATGCCGCTCTGGTTGGGTGTGGGGTTGAGGCTTTGTAAAAAGCAAAAGTGTTGTGAGCATACAAGAGCAGTGAGAAAGGTTTGCACAGCTGTATGTGAAAGGAGGGCATATGGGAGAAACACATTCATGTCACCCCCTTTGTTCTAGTGCTGCTGGAGAAAAGAGATGAGGGAGATGTGTGTGAGACACACACAAACAGAGGTGTAGTAGCATTGCAGCAACATAGTGACAAACACTCTTGCAAGGGCCTGGATCTTCCCTGATCATTATCATTTTTTAACCCAAACCATGCCCACTGACCTCCCAAAATAATCAGAAAAGAGCTATTGCACTAGAAATCATACATGACAAGAGCTGTTAAAGAGGTAATTAATGTTGATGTTGTATTTCTATAAGTAAAAAGTGTTGCTTTTTGTGGTCTCTCATGTGAGAATAAAAGAAGAGTAACAACATTATGTGGAAGAACACAACC